GTACTCCTTTTGTTTTCTTTGTCATGATTACTTGCTTTAAATTACTCTTTGGTTTCCTCGGAAACGTCTTGGTTGGTCCTTCTATCACAACATTATTTAAAAAATGAGTCATATTCATATGAAAAGCCTGATGTTCTAAAATAGTTGCTTTTTGTTCATCCGTCCATGTGTAATTTTGTGTAGCAATCATTTTTTGAGTATATGATCAAATTGACGAAATTCCAATAAAATGTTACAACGGAATCTATTCACAACACAAAATAATAGAATGAATAAACACCTACAGATGATTTTCTTGTGAAATACTCCAATCTCTCCACTGTCAATAAACGTCTGCTATATGTTTACATCACCCAGGCAACATGTAAACACACTCTTGACAACCATGTAAATATTTCCAATGATCGATTTAGTCTATAACACTTCACAAATGTAAAAAGCAATTGAAGTTGTAGTCGTATTGATCCGTTTTATTACTAGACTATATTGATAAAATTAATTACAAATCAAGGTTGGGGCGCACTGGGGAAATTATTTTTTCTCTTAAATCCCACAGAATTCTTTCTTCGCCTGTTCTCCCGGTTTTTTTATTTATTTTTTTTTTGGAATTTTTTTGTTGTTTTTTGGGTGTTTTTAATAACGTTTTTTTCCAAAGTAAAAAAAAAATTTTTTTGGGAGTAAGAAAATTTTGGTGTTTTTGCGTTTTTTTTTGCTTTTTTTTTTATGAAAATTTAGGGCTCTTTTACTTGAAATGAGGGTAATTTTTTGGGGGTCAAATTTTTTTTTTTTGGAGGGGGGTATAGGTGTGTGATATTGTGTAATACTCGCATGTCTAATTTTTCATTTTTGTCATATACAAATTTTGAATATAATTGTCAAGTTGAGTATTTTTATCAGCCTTCACGAAAACCGTTTGAATAACAAACCCCAAAACCAGTCTTTAATTAGAAAAAATGCAAATTGTCTTTTTTTCAGAAAAAAATATTAATGTCCTGGATCGACAAATGTGGGGTTTTTTTTATTTATATTGGCTTGAAATACATGCCTTTGTTGGTATATGTATGTTTATTATTTCTAACAGTTCTAGTTCATTGTTATCATACACGTACTCGTCTTTCATTCTGTTTGTAGATAAATGCGTAGTCTTCAAATATCCGATGACAATTCAACCGTGGAATTGAAGCCATGCAAATCATGGCATTTACCAATGAAAAAGAAAAACGTAAAAAATGCATACGAATATATGGTAACAAAATATTTTGATCCAAATGCTACTTGAATATGAACAGTAATAACGGAAAGCATAATCTTAAAAAAGAAGGGTTGTTCATCTTTTTGAAATGAACTAAAACCGTGGTATATTTATTTGTTTCCAGAGCAGAACAACTCTTTAACCAAAAACATTCCATTAGTTTGCTCGTTAAATTTTTCGCAAAGTTTCTTTGAAACTTTGTTACCAACTAACGCCACACCAAATTATCGTTTTGTTCTTCGGACTAGTCAACAAAGAGGAGAGGGCGAACGAAAATTTTATTTAAAAAATTTTTTTTAAACATTCAATTTTCCAAAGGAGTATAATTTTCTTGTAGCGAATAACAATTTGTTTTGAATATTTATAAAACAAGATTAATGGAATGAATTATAATGAGGTGAGCGGCATTGTTTTGACTTTTTTTTTCCAAGCAAGCAAAAAAGAATTTGTATGTTATATATGTTCTATATGTCTTTATATCTTAGTCATACATTGCTTCTTGGTTCTTTTGTGAACACATGAACTTAACATCAATAATTCTACCTCCTTTAGATATTTGCATAGAGATTCTCATGCAGTACTTTATTCAAATTAAGAAAAAACAGTGACAAATATGTCATGTGTGTAGGTGCTTATGAACAGTCAACCATACACATACATCTGATGTACAAAAAATGATGTCTTGAACTTTATATTCAATTAGACCTTTTCAATAAATCCTGACAACGAGTAATGACACTTACAATGTACAGATGAGTTGGAGGCTCTGTTTAAAGAAAAAACAGTATAAGACTATTTTGAAGGAAAATATAACCAACTATTAGTGGATAGTTTTTTATTTTTTTCTTCTCTATCTTTCATCGAATACGTCGGCCTTTTATGCTAAATTGTTTAAATTTTCCAGTAAAATATTCCTGCAATTAATTTACATTCAGAATTCTTTTTATCGACAATTATATGAATATGAATATTTAGATATTCGAGTCTAACGGAATATTGTGTGCATCTGTCAATACCGATTAACTCGTTTGTGGAACGCATTTTTTATGTCTTTATATTTTATTACCGTATTTCAACAATGTTGCGACCATCATTAAGATAACACACCAGTTGACACTATAAAGCATGTTTTTCAATTGTTCTTACCACATACACGTAATATACACTACAGCTTTTTTGTTGCATCTTTGTTCGACCAATTGTTTAGTCAGTTGTTATGTATGCCTTTGAGGTATGTTTACACAGGGACTTCTGGATCTCAATTAACATAAACCTTTTACGTCTGTTTGGATTGCTTACCCAATTCTGTCACTATAACGAAACTATACACAACTGTAATACAAGTGGGAGGTTTATCTAGCAATAAAACCATGTTTTACCCTCCACTTTTTTCGGAAAATGCCTGTACTAAGTCAAGAATATGGCAATTGTTTTTCACTTGTTCCGTTGATTGATAGCGTTGATTTTGTCAGTTTTTATGGACTTTCCCTTTTTTTAATTTGCCTTGAAATTCAGTATTTTTGTTATTGTTATACTTTTTTCCAATAAAGGAAGGATTAGAAGCCTATTGATTTTTAAAGACAAAAGACATTATCAAATCGCTACTTTTGTTGAGATCGATTCTTCATTGCACCCGTTTAATTTTGAGAACTTCCTTAATGGAATGATAACAGGTTTGAACTAAATTCCCGTTTTTGTGCTACAATATGCCAGCAGCACCTGCGTATGGAGTTTTATCTCTTAACTCAAACGTTACTAGTGAGCTTGTTGCCATTACAGAGACCCTTTGGACATGGCCAAACTGCTGACTCAGAATGAGGTTTGGTGTCCCTTGATTGAGGTATTATTCTCGGTGTATGTTTTATGAATATCTTCCCGAGTTGGTTGGCCGTTTATCAGAGTGTTGCCCTCGAAATCACATTGGTGTAGGAAGTTGTTGACATGTTCCTCTGTATTTCCCAGAAAACATGGCATGGAGATTAAGTATCCCGAAATCGCCACATTTTGGTAACAACATTTACGACACCTCAAATCAATCATAAGCTGCAAAATTCGAAGGAAGGTGCACAAAGTACAATTATATTATCACTGAATACATTAATTGAAAAGGAACATCAAACTGGCAACTTGCAAAAGAAAATAGTACATTACGGAGGTATCAGAGGATAACATTAAGTACAAAAACATTGTTGAGACAGACATGTGCTGTACTCGTTAAAAGAGGTTAATAATTGTCTGTCCAAACATTCAATACTAAATACAAGTTGAAGATTTTCATTTTTAGAATGTCAACGAAGAAGCTAAAAGTCTTCGTCTTTAAAATTAAAATAAAATATCGAGACCCTTCTGGCATTTTCTTCATATTTAATTAATACACAACAGTGAATTTTATTTAATAAATTATTAACAACCAAAACAAAACATTGTTGTGGTAAGTATACCAGACATACAGAAAAATATTTTGTTCGAGCCAGAAACCTACTGGATTATATATTATTAGTAAGATACCAATTTTCTTTGATTTCGTCGGTAAAGGTTATAACCACGAATTTAAACGTTAAACGAAGTAAAAAATCGCCGGAAGCCTTGTACAATGTACATGTATGCTTTCTTTGGTAAAACCGCGAAATCAAATATCAACGAAAATACAATGTTTTCTTAATCCACGATCTGAAGACAATGTCTTGCATACTGTGACATTACATACTGAAGAGAGCGAATAAAATGATGATTCTTGAAAACTCTTTCACTTTTATTATATATTTAAAACCTTATGATCTTTTATTTTTCTTTTCTATGAAGTTAGTAGATATGGTATGATTGGTAATTACACAGATAACCACTAGAGACTAAATAACGTAGATTTAGCCACTATTTGTCACCACAGGGCCTTCAACAATGCACAAAACCCAAACTGCAAGATTGTTTATTTATACATTCCATTAATTAAAAGAGTGTTTTAATATCATTATTGTTTTGGACAAAGAATGCACGTATACCTAACGTAAAGAGCTCAGAGGTAGAATAAAGAACATTGGATGTTTTTTCTAACTTCAAATCCATTGAATTTGATGGACAAGCTTTCCAAAAGGAAGATCAGAATTCCCGTGATCAACAAATATGCATTAACATTTGTGAATGTATTTCTCTACTCTTGTGAAAAAAAATTGATCCAGGCAAGAATCATTTAACAAAATGATTGCGTCCATTACAAATCTGTATGATAATTATTAACCGAATCTATCTCATACGGTTACATACAAATTTCCTTTTCTTTTTAACATTCTTAACCTTTATATTGAGCGTATAAACAAATATGATCCATGGTCCCGTTTTAACGCTAAAAAATGTTGCTTGTAAGTTATTCAATGATATTCGTGTTTATCATTCCTGACCACTGTAAACCCTCCCTGTTTTGATGGGAAAGAATAAAAAGAGCAAAAAATACAAGCTTATGGTTTATACAATATTTGATATTTACTTTTCTCTTTGTTTGTTTCTCCATATACTTGAAGTGTTGCTTGAATTCATTCCATACATGTTATCTTTTGTATATTGTAATATGATATGACCTAAACATTTTTGTATTATTAATCATAGATTAACAGATTTTTTTTCTCCCGAAGTGTATCATCTGTTCAAGTCAGGAAATCATGTTCATTTCAGATTTTCACTTCGATATAGTATCATAAACGATAACCACCTCTTATCAGGTAAAAATCATTAAATCAATTGTTTTAAATCTTACCTTGCTTGTAAAGATGGTGTGCTTCTTTTCAGCATATTATAATCAACAAACTGCTCATCTTCCATATTATATATATATATATATATGTTGTCTATTAATCAGCTAGCTGATTATTACCTATGACAAAGACAAATGTATATTGAACAGGTTGAATGCATCTGACATTGTCATTGACTTGGCTATTTAAATCTTTACAAGTGTCTTTTTTCACAGCTTATATTATATTATATTAAACTTGATATGAATGAGACATAGGACACCATGCCAAGCCCACACAACTATATTTTTATGTTAATTGAGCTGCATAATCTAGCATACCCCTTATATTTAGCATATATTTTAAGAAGTCTACATCCTAATGAACATGTGTATTAAATTTCAAGACGGTGTTGCCACAACTTCAAGGTAACATTATTCCTACTAGCAACTACATATTTACTTTAATTTCATATGGACGGATGAGTGGACAGATAAACAGACAAATGGACAGACTGAGGGATGGATGCACATATCTGAATTCATAATGCCCTATATATGTCTGATGCAAACTGTTAGCTGCTATAACATGAGTGAATATGGACACTTTTCAAGCAGAAATGGCAAAGCCTATGTTTTACTATCAAAGTCATCCTTTTTTCAAATTCTTATACCAATTTCATACTGACAAATTTAACAACTACTAAAATGCCAATTTCGAAGTTTTTCTTAATAGAAAATACAAATATATGAACTGACCAAATGCAAAGTATGAAACAAGATCAAATTCGGGTGGATCTGAGACGATGTATACAATTGATTGCGGCTGCATGTAAAATTTAGCATAATTGAGCATTTCCTTTCATTTTAGTCAAGTAATGGTTGACGAAATATTTCCGTGTACAATGAGTGTTTTACAATCTCAAACTATCTGCAAACAGGAAATGACTGAATGATAGATGTAACATTTGTTTAAACGAAAAAACTAATCATTATGAAACTGCAGAACAAATATAAATTATTTCCCGTTCATAAAAGCCATGAAAACGTTCAAGAGATTTTCCTTATGCAATGAGTGTTGTAAGCTGCAGACCAAGTATATAACAATTCTCTTCCTACAAAAGCCATAACTCTTTTGAAGAAAGTTATCTACGCATGGTCGTTCTGTCGGAGAGACAAACCGATAGACGTTCAAGTACACCTGTCATCAAGAAATTCTTTTTTATTTCGTGGTAAAATGCTATACATTTTCAATTACAAACTCACCATTAGACAAAATTTGGCAATGTCCATGCTCTTTAATAGGGAACCCCAAAAATTAATCCGATAAGATTATGATTGATTTGATGGTTTATTGCTTAAAGTCAAGTCAGTGCAAAGATGCTTTTGAGATTACAGACAACAAGACAGTCATAAAAAATGCACTGTCTCTTAAGCAATTTGTCTGCCGACATATTGTAAAAAAGGATCAGACACCATTTAAAAGTTGCTTATGCATTGTTAAATCATAACCATGTAAAAATACAGAAATTTTGAATTGGTGAAAAAGTTGGGATGTTTTTGTTGTAAGAAACAACAGTTATGTTTTGTTATATTTCCAATCAAAATACGTACATCTACTAGACCTTTGCAACCAGTTTGCCCAAATAGGGTCTTAAGCTGCTTCATGAATGTTCAATCAACTCTTTGCTTTTGCAATATCATTTCTAGACTATTACAATTTTTATCAAAAATCTTTTTAATAACTTGCTATAATTCACTTTAGAAACTTAAACTCACTTTACTTAATCATGAAATTGGGCAACTGGCTCTATTTGTCAATATGTAAAATAACGAGAACCCATTTGTGACGAGCATGTACTTATCATTACAATAGTTATCATAGCTGTTTTATGGACTTTTCATTACACTGCGACCTTAATTCCTTTATTTCCTCCTTAAACTGACATCGGTCCGAATTTAATATAGATTGGTGCTCCTTCTTGTCTTTCTTTTTTTCTATTTTATGAGCTTCCTATACGAGGTAAACCCAATTTTGGTTACACAAATATTTACACAGATTGTTAAGAGAACAAATGTCTTATTGATAATAAAAAAAGTCTTATTTATAAAATAGGACTAAATTTAATCAAGTAAACGTGCCTTGTACAGTTTGTGCGAAGAGTATTTAGAGTTGATTGTTTCAAAATCTCATCAAGTGTTCTAACTGTTAACATCATCTGGTGTTTTGAAGTTTAAGATCATGGCTGATTTCAACTTTAAACTTGTGCTCAATTTTGATTGTACCTTCCTTTCTTCAATAAGTCTTCAAATACATATACACTGTCATGATTGTCGTGATTGTATTTAGACAGACAGTTAAGTTCTTAAATTGTTAGGATTAGCTAGCCAGTGTTGACAGCATGAGATATCACTATTTAAATGAAAATTTAACACATTCTTTCTAAAAAAATTATAATATTTCTAATGAGATGAACTTACTTATTCTGAATTATAAATGCTCTTTATAAATTGTTGTTGAAATATAATACAAATTGAAATAAACTAATATAACATTCATGATTGGGTTGTGTTTGGGTTTTTATGGGGGGAAGGGGGGGGGGGAGAAGATGATTTGTATTGCTTAATCTATGATTTTCTGTATTGTCTTTTGTTAAACGTTTCAGATCAAAAGTTGTGTTATATATTGAAATGTGATGTTATAAAATATGTCTAAGTGTCTAATCGTTTTGAATTAAGAAATATATTTCCCGCTCTGATTCCTTGTCCAGATAAAGCTATATTTTAGGTCCTTTTATCGATTAGCTTTGCAGCGTTTGTATGAGGTTTGGATCTTCGAATATTTTGATCCCGGGCATCACTGATGAAACATTAATTGTCGAAATGCGTATTTGATGCAGTAAAATTGATACCGTTAATTTTATGAAGAATAATGGATACTCAATGTCCATCGGCAAATATTACAAACATATTCAGTACATTAATTTGTACTGGACCTACATGCAAAACTGAATATTAAATAAGATAACTCACAAGGTTAAAGTCAAAGAAAAAAAATCCACTTCCTAATTGCAGATATTATACTGTCGCAGATTCATCCAATATTACATGTAAATGTAACTCATAACTGAAAATTATGTGTTTGTCTTGCTTTTTAAGTTTAGGTTTAACGCTGGCGGGTATCAAGCTTACGACCTCCCGTACTAAATTCGAGCACTCAATCACAAATCAACCTAAGCGTGGTTTCAACTGCTGAAAACATACCAGACTATGAAACGTTCCATCAAGACAAGGCAAATAAATTAACAATGGTGGCTGATAAATGTATTGATTGAAGACAAACACGTTGAACTGCCATTGCTAATTGCTCCTCTACTTTCTTTCTGTGTATTGATAAAAAACACCACACTCGACTACAATAATGGGGGAAAACGAAACTAAATCAATTGACATTAATACAAATAGAGTATATATATCTTACCTAAGTTTCTTATTATTTTCTCGGTTGTTATCCAAACATTGTTTTAACAAACGTCAACTTGAACGAAAATTGATTAATTTAGTACCGTCGAGTACTTTTGTTTCTGACTGAACAGGTATAATTTACTGCATTCAATATTATTTTTAAAGTAGTACAATTTAATGATCACATTTCTAAACATAGCAATGCATATAACAAATGTACAAGGTAAAATTTTAAATGTATTTTGCGGCATTTTCTACCTGTAAACGCATAACACAGGCGCTACATGTGACGAAAGAGTCTGACCTAAAGCTATTTGTGTATGCATACTTCACGTAAATATGACAAATGAGATAGCAAGCAAACTCAAATTAAAAAAAGTAAAAACAATAATACGATTATTGGCTTTTGGTAAGGTTGAGACAATGATTTATCAACCCCAGAGATGAGATATTGTCCGATTGCATGTCTTACGACTGACAAAGTTTACTTACATATATATAAAGGAATATGTATAAAACATATCTTATAGAGTTTGGTAGTGGTCTATAGTTTAACTATGCACAATGTAAAATTATACAGTACGTGTGAGGAGCATTAGAGTCGTATGCTTAAAGGGAACATCCCAAGCTCTCCGCGCGTAGCAAAAGAGTGCATGAACATTTGCAAGGCATCAGATTGATAGCTTGTTACAGAGCAAATTTGAGGTGAAAATACACAGCTGCTGTATAGTTTTGTAGCTTGAAATCATTTAACTTTTCATCTAAAGCTTTCCTTATGGCTGATTTTTAAAACAACAGTATCATTCGTACTGAAATAGGAACTTGACGTATACTTATCTATCGTAGGTTAATACATAGATACTAAGAAAACCCTTCACATTGTAACCAATCATGGTTTGGTATGGATTACCTACATGTACATGTAAATGATACAATTATTACAGACAGACAGTTCTCAGTTATATTTATGACAATATAAGTCTAGTAGAATGGTTTGGTGATGTTTTGTGGACCTTTTTCGTTTTAAATTAAAACAAACGTTTTATATTTCTGTGTATCAAAGGGTGTCGTCATGATACCTCTACACTACCAAGAATTTACCCACGTTTTTTTTTTTGTACATTTCTACCCTCTTTCATATCAGTACTGTTCGGCAAGAGACTAAAAACTTATAATGTTATACTTTCTATTAATTCAGTATTGTTCATTATTATACAATAACTGTACAGTTACTAATTCTATGGGTGGGGGGGAAGAAGATGATTTGTGTTGCTTAATCTATGATGTTCTGTGTTGTCTTTTGTTAAACGTGTCAGATCAAAAGTTTTGTTATATAGGAAATGATTAAAAATGTATTGAAGTTTTAATTGGCAATAATCCATATAAAGAAAAAACAAACCATGCATCATATAATGTCTGGTATTGTAATGAATGTAACTAAACAATTCGAACACTTCTTGTCTTCGAAAATTTCATGTTGCTGATTCCATAATGTTCAACCAATCGAGTGTGTTTCATAAGTTTTGTCACCATATAGTGGTTGAGGAATTTTGCACATTTGGTGCAGTAAAATTGGTATCGGTAATGTTATTACTACCACTTGGTCCCCAAGGGTTTCATCAGTTCCGTTAGCCAGTACGTCGGTATTTTGATTGAAATTTGATGTTATAAAATGTGTCTAATCGTTTTAAATTAAGGAATATATCTCCCACTCCGATTCCTTGTCCAGATAAAGCTATACTTTAGGTCCTTATATCGGCAAATATTACAAACATATTCAGTACATCAATTTGTACTGGACCTACATGCGAAACTGAATATTGAATAAGTTAACTCACATGGTTAACGTCAAAGAAAAAAAATCCACTACCTAATTACAGATGTTATACTGTCGCAGATTCATCCAATATTACATATAAATGTAACTCATAACTGAAAATTATGCTTTTGTCTTGCTTTTTAAGTTAAGGTTTAACGCTGGTGGGTATCAAGCTTACGACCTCCCGTGCTCGATTCGAGCACTCAATCACAAATCAACCTAAGCTTGGTTTCAACTGTTGAAGGCATACCAGACTATGAAACGTTCCATCAAGACAAGGCAAATGAATTAACAATGATATTTGACATTTAAAGAGGCAGAATTAGTTGACACAAATTTTGAAACTTATTAGCTTATTAGTGTAAGTGTACCGGAAACGAAATTAACAACCTATCTAGTAAGTTATATCATTCAAGTTTTATGTTGAACATGTTAAATTCAAGGCGATCTTGTAGCGAACGCACAACCCTATACTGTGTTTGGTTTTTTCTACGATATCTAGTTAAGAAAAAACTGTATTATCGGACGGGTGAAACGAGGGAGAAAATAATATGATTTAGATACACATTAAGGGCGTTAGCCCGAATGAGTGCGTATTACTTACACCAAGATAAATTGAATATTGTCAATGCAGAATGACGAATTCAATAATTTAGGATAGGGACTTTCAATACTAACGGATTCCTTGTTAAGGAGGAGATCTTTTAACAATTTGACAATATGCTATTGAAATGCATGATAAATGCAGGGTATCCAATTTATTTACCGACATCTTTGTGTAAAAAAAGATACAATATTGCTAGATAAATAGAAAACAAAAACACATTTCCTTGCATAATCTTATCTAAAATTATTGAAAATTATCATAATTTATGGGTATTTTTTTAACATGATACACCAAAGCCGAATTTTGTATGTTTGCATTACACACTTGCATTGTTTGGATTAACGTATCAATTAGAAGGTAGGTTAGAAAGTCACAAAAAAAGAATCAAAGAACAAAACGCCATTATATGGTTTTCCGGATAATGTTTTTTTTTTGGCAAATATAATAAAAAATCTAAAACTTTTACATATACCCGTAGAAACTCGCCTAATAGTCGATCCTACTATAAGTCGGGTGCCCTTTTCAGCTCCAAATTCTAAGGATTTAGTCTTGACCCTCGTATAAGTCGGACAAAATTTGGGCATTTTTTTTTTTTTCAGCTGACAGTAACTGAACGCCGGTAAAACCAATGCAAATCAAGGAATAATATTCATTTCTGCATTAATGTTTGTTTGGTTTGAATTTAGTTGATGCTCATCATGATAATTTATATTGCTGTTAATAATAAAGATGTATTCATTTCTCTTGTTTTGTTCACTGTTCAAATGTTTGAATAGCCATGTGTTGTTTACGTAATGCATCAATGAGTTTGTAGGGTATGACTAACAACCTATTGTTTGAGAAAAGCGAATATAAACCAATATGAATCTGAAAAATTTAAAGTCAATCAACACTTGATGAAAATATTTTTCACAGCATACATAACTCGGTGTTAAATGAGCATGTACACTTCATAATTCTTATTATATTGTGATGATTAAAGGATTAAAAAAATTAAGTGAAGCTAATCAATATATTAAAATAACTAACTCCAACTCATTAGTGTCATCTGTTTACCTATCACTGATAGTTTTCACACCTTTAGTAAATACAACTCTTTGTCTCTTAATTGGGGTTATCAATGGATTATATTGGCTTGTCAATCAATTTTGTAATTTTTGTTTACCTGAGACACTTTAATGAATAATATTTTGATTTTGGGAATGAATCTTTTTTGATTATTATATGATTTATAAGCATTGAATTGATATCATGATATCACAATAATGACACAATAACTCCGCTGAAAACATCCTTTCACATATTTGGTACATTGTTATCTCCTTTTCATTTTTGGTTCTTGGCTCTTCTTTTGGGTTTATAGGAAAACCATGTGACCATGAAAATCAATACACAAACCGGAAACAGTAGAATTTCAACACGAATTTGCAGAAAATGTTTACCAAAGAACAAATAAAACACAAAGACAGTATTGTAGTCATTTATTTTCAACAAAAACTTTTTATTTATTGATTTATGTAGGTTTGGCAATCAAAAACGTAGTTTTGACCAGGAAATTCACTCCTGACCACTTTTCTCAAGCTTGGATTTTTCCTCTGGTCGCTAGATCTCGTCTATTAGTCGGTCCCCCTCTCTGGATTATGAATTTTACTCCCAATTTTCCGACTAATAAGCGAGTAGGAACGGGGGTACATAACATTTTAGGTAAACACCTAGAGTTACAAATATACCAGCATACATTTTTGATAGAAAAAAAACATGCTATCAAAGATACTTCAGAAATGCCTAGCTCCATGCCTAAGAAATATACATTCAAAATGTGAAATGAATTGATTTAAAACGACTTTAAACATATTTATTTCTGTGTTGTCAATATCTTAGAATAGAATATGATCAGAATATGGTCTGTGTATAAAACAAGTATACCGCTGTAATTAAAGCACTAGACAATTTATACATGTAAATATGTGCTACTGCCTACATAATTTTGTTTTGTTTTTAGTTTTTAATTATTTTTTTTGTCATTATCGTACATTTTTTTTAACCACTAAATTTGCGGTTTTCTGATATGTTCGTGCAGTTTTAACAATGTCGTCCATAGTGTTTAGAAAGAAGCTATTATAAAATGTGTTAGAACCTTAAATTACACATACATGAACGGAGCTATGATACCATGACAGGTGTACATATGATGTAATTGTGAAATAGCCATGATTGTAATTGCCAAGTTTTTAATTGATTGTATTACCTTTTGATTATTGGCACATGCCATCGAACTCAATCTTTATTGACAGAAGATATAAAATAACGAATACATTTATTACTATTAGACCAATTTCAAGAGATTGTGACGGGCAACGACTATATAGGTGTTGTAGAAGAGACATTGGCGCATCGTTTAAGAAAATCTGTAGAGTGGTTTATGTTCGAAAATCTGAAGTAACGGTTAAAAAACTGAAAATGTGAAATTGACAAAATGAGATTGGGAGGTAGGCCAATTTAAGTTAATTTTGGACCAATTTCAAGAGATTGTGACGGGCAAAGACTATGTAGGTGTTGTAGAGGAGACATTGGGGGATCGTTAAGGAAAATCTCCAGAGTGGTTTATGTTCGAAAATCTGAAGTTACGGTTAAAAAACTGAAATTGTGAAATTGACAAAATGAGATTGGGGGTTAGGCCAATATTAGTTAATTTTGGACCAATTTCAAGAGATTGTGACGGGCAA